TACAAATTAAATACTATTTGTTCTAGACATAAAGTGCTATTGCATTTCCCAGAACCCCAGTACAGCTATATTAATATATAAACTTATGATGGAGTAAAGCAGTAGTCCATAATCTTCTGGTATAATTTCCTTTTAATAGTGAAAATCTACCCCAACCCCCCACCTTCCCATCTGCGTCTTCCTATATCACTTTGCTCAGATCTGTCATTCGCATTTCTACATTGTACATTGTGATTATCTGTTTACATAGAGATAAGGTCTGAGTGGGGTTATCTCTTCCCCGCACAGTGCCTAACACATGCTAGGTGCTCCAGTACTTGCTGGAGGAAAATCAGAGTTCCTCTGGAGCAAACGCAGCCCTGGTTGTGAACTCAGTGCTTTATGTATTGATTCATTTTCTTCTCAGTGACCTGTAACCATGGAAATGGTGGCTGCCAGCACTCCTGTGAGGACGCGGCTGAAGGCCCAGAGTGTAGCTGCCATCCACAGTACAAGATGCACACAGATGGGAAGAGCTGCCTTGGTGAGTGGGGACCCCCCCACACTGGGTGTGGGTCTGCTCCAGCCACTCACCCCTAACCCTATCCCAACCCTAACTATTAATGGTGTTTACACCAGATGCAGGGAGATGCCAGTGCATTTGCCCCCAAACAGGTCCTGTGCTGCTTTACATGTGGCAGTGGGAGTGGTCTAGGCCTGGAATGGGAACCCCACTCTCTTTGTGCGACTGGAAAGCCCTTTCTTCTCTCCTGGATGAGGCTGCTCCTAGAGACTGGGATAACACATTTCAAAGGTCCAGGGCGACACAAAGTTAAAGCTAGTTGTTTGTGATGACACGGTGGCCTTTAGGGTCAGCAGGATCAGGGTTGCATGTTTCTGGTGGTATGCCTGCCCTGTCTTTCATGCTGTGTCCTTTGACACCTGTATTTTAGAGGTTCCCAGGCCCAAGACTCTCTTTGTCCTGGCCTGAGGGTACCAGAGTGAATCTGAAGCTTGTGTTCCCTGGTGTCTCTTTGATCAGCGCAATGTGCTTCAAAAATCTTTGCCATAGTTAATGTTTCCTAAGGCTCTGCGGCCATTTCGCATGCTGTGTTTCCCACAGAGCCTCATTACAGCACATTTTTATTGAGTGAACAGTCACATATCTTACATTGTTCTCATGTCTGGGATTTTAGCCGAAGCGGTTGTGCAGGGGATGAGTAATCTGACTCATTCGGTCTGAGAACTGAGCTCTTTTTCGTCTCTTGTAGAGCGAGAGGACACTGCCTTGGAGGTGACAGAGAGCAATGCCACATCCGTGGTGGATGGGGACAAACGGGTGAAACGGCGGCTGCTCATGGGTAGGCACCTCCACCACCCTCCCCTGGTCACTGTCATTGTCCATTTCCCTCCCCCACTTACACCTCAGGCCTGGACCTGGGACCCATGTGCCCTCAGACCAGCTGAACCGGGGTCAGCAGCTCCTGTCATGCCAGGGTGTGTCTGTTCTTTGCCCAGTGCTGTTGCTTAGTCATCATCCGAGACCCTGGTATTGTGGGAAGAGCATCGGCCCAGCCGTCAGAATAACCGGGCTAGCATTCGACTGGTAGTGAGACCTGGGCATGCTGTCCTAAGCCTCCGTCTCCTGGTCTTTCTTCAAAATGAATGTAATAAAATCTACCTCTTAGGGTTGTCAGGACGCTCAGTTAAGATAATAATATACAAAAGTGCCCAGAGTCCACTGTCTGGGACTTAGAGGGCGGCCAGTGAACGTCAGTTCTCTTCCTTCTGGGTAACTGTGACCAGAGAGGCACTTTGGGTAGCCCCTAGCTTAACATGGTGATTTGTCTGGGTTTTTTTGTCCACTGAGTCTTCCTGTTCTGACTCAGCCCGTGTTAATGGCAGAAGAGATGAATGGAGAAGAGTGGCATGTGGCTGTGGGACGTGGGAAGGTCTCCCAGCAGGTCCGACAGAGGAACTGGAGATGAGAGCAGAAGTAGAGGCGGTGGCCGTGGGGGTGGGAATCAGGCAGATCCTTTGACACATTATTACTCTGAAGGAAGCTTGGCTTGACCTAAACAAAACCCACCTTTCGATGGGTTCGGGATTTAACAGTCAGGTAAGATACTGAGCAGCTATTGGTCACCAGGCAGGTGACATTTCTGAACTCTTTTCTGCCCTATTAAAACTTTAAATTGCCTAAATTAAAATAGTACATATGAATCATATAAAAACTTTAAAAAAACTTAATTAGTATTATTAAGCTTGTAATGAAATACATCATTTCCTTGTCTCCTAAATTTCTATTCCCTCATCCCATTCACCAGAGGCAACAATTTTTAATTTTCCTACTTGTTTCTTCTGCTGGCTCCCCTGTCCCCCATATTTCTGAAAAGTGAAATGTATACAGTTATTTCCCTTTTTTATCCAGTTTGAGATATTCTCTAGTTATTTCTTGATTTGTCAGTTTTAGATATTAGCTTCTGACTTTCTACTATTAAGCACTAAGTTTTAGCTCTTCTCCTCTCTTTCTCTCTCTCTCTCTCCCCCTCTCTCCCTCTCTCCCTTCCCCCCCCACCCCCTCTCTCCCATACTTTTAACATGGTAATATCACAATTTAAATATTATGTGTTTATACTACTGTGACTATGAATATCTACTGTATTTCCCCATGTATAAGACACACCCTTTTTTGAAAAATTTGGGGTGTAAAAACTGGGTGTGTCTTATACAGTGGTTGTATGAGCGCAAAAACAAGTGCGGAAAAAAGTGGGAAATGCAAGTAAAAAAAACTACAACCACTGTATAAGACGCACCCAGTTTTTAGACCCCAATTTTTTAAAAAAAGGGTGCATCTTATACATGGGGAAATATGGTAAATATGATTCACCCGAGGCATGTAATGTGCTATGATTATATTTTCTTTGTTTGCTTAGTTTTCTAAGTACCTCTTAACAGTTCTTTTGCAAATTTCTGGCAGAGCCCTGAAACCCTTTTCAGTGTGTTCAAATACAGCAGGTAACATATCCACTCCATTTTCTTCTTAAGAAGTCTCTTCTGAGGCTTCCACCTGCCCTAGTGGGGCCTGACTCCCTAGGCCATCTGTACACCTCTCACCTGGGCCTTCCCTTTAGCACCAGCCTGGAATTCCCTTCACCACTCTCCTGTTTTGGTGGATCCCATGTCTTCTTTTTTGTTGGTTTACAAGGGTAAATATAGATTTTTTTAAACTTTGCACATCTGAAATGGCTTTATATTCTACTTTTACCCTTTATTGAGAATTCAGATTATGTAGAAATCAGAATTCAGAGTTGGAAAGAATATTCCATCAGAGTTTTGAATAGTTTTTGAATGCTCTATTGTTTTCAAGCATTCAGTGTTGCTTCAAGAAGTCTAAAGTCATTTTTATTCTTGGTCCTGTATATGGGACCTGTGAAATCTCCTCTCTGAATATTTTTATGGCCTTCTCCTTGTTCCTGGTGATCTGAAATTTCATAATAATGCCCCTCACTGTGGGACTTTTCCCACCTGTTATGCTGATTACTCAGTTGGCCTTTTCAATATGGACATTAAAGTCCTCTGGTTCTGAGAAACTTTCTTATATTTTTTTCTTTCATTATTGTCTTCACTCCATTTTCTCTGTTTGTTCTCTCTGAAACTCCTATTAGCTGGCTGCTATAATTCCTGTATTGATCCTTCTCTCTTCTCTTCTTTATATTTTTGTTCTACTTTCTAAGAGATTTCTTTTTCCTTTTTTGCCTAATCCCTCTGCAGGATTCTTTTTAAATTTCTGCTTTCAAGAATTTTACTTTGGTCTTTTGTTGTAGGAACCTGTTCTTATTTCAGGGATGCTTTTCTTATCTCTCTGAGGAAATTAATTATAAGATTTTTAAAACTTCTCTTTTGTTTCCTGTATTATCTTTGTTTCCTCCAAGTTCCCTTTACCCTGTTCTTTTGATTTGGTGTATTTATTTCATATTAGAGGCTTTCCTGAAATTTCTGGCGATTCTTGGCTGACTTTTCATATTTAATAGTGAAATACTAAAAAGCTGATTACATGTTCTTTCAGCTGGTGGGCTTTATGCTTAGGTGACTAGGCAGTGACTTAGCCATTTCATTTGGAGATCCTCAAATGCCAATATCACTTGGGCAGGTCAGCTGGAGAGGAATCCTTCAGGATCCTACTGAGGAGACATAGGCTTGACCGCCAGCATTCTGGGAGTTGAGGGGGGTGGATAAGAATTTTTTATTGCTCTTTTTAGAGTACAGACTTTCACTGACAGTGCCTCCTCCTACCCCTCTGCTATTCTTGGTGCTCTTGAGTCCAGTGCTTCTCTGGTCACACTTCTCCAGAGGATACATTTCTCTGCTGTAACCCAAATAGGGGAGGGATAGTCACCTGGCTGTGGAATTTAGGAGGGGACCTGGAGACTGATCTATTTGTTATACAGACTCTCAATCATTCTTCCTGTTTTTAACTCCATCCTCCTCTCTGCCTCTAGGATAACTTAGTACCACCAATTGCTGAGCCTTTGTGAGATTCTGTGGCTTACATGAGCTTACCACCTGTTAGCATCCCCTCTGCAGACCACTAGGGTTTAGCTTCCTGCTATGCCAGTTACTGCTCCTCCATTGACATGCCACTTCCAGAATATTTGACATCTTTCATCTATTGTCTTCTCTTTTCCTTGTCCTTAAGGATTTATACTTTAAAAAAATCTATTTACTCTCATTTTAGTGAGGCTTGGAGAAGAAATGGATAAACACACATGTTCTATCATATTTAATTAGAACTAAGCTTGTCCCCCCAGGCTCTACAATGAGGTAGCTATGGAAGTAAAATCAGGTTTCCAGATGCTAACAGTTGAATGAATGTTGAAGAGCATCTGTCTGTAACTTTGAATAACTGTATGAAATGCAGAACTAGAGGTCATTTGCTTATTGTTCCTTATCTCTGTAGATGCGATTTAACAACTGTGACTGACTTTTTATGTAGTTCTGACAGCTCTTTCAGGGAAAGGTAAACTTCTAATCTGAGTTACTTGGCAGCTGCAAGGAAGAGGAGGAAGCATTGGTCTGCGGCAAGGGAATGATTGGGGTGGGCAATGCTTACCCTTTCTTGCTTTGCCCATTTCTCATATTGAAGGGAGAGAGTTCAGGATTAAGGAAGGAACACCCCGCTGTTCTGCATTCACATCTAGCCTGCCACATGCATCAGACTTAGCAGGTCACTGGCTGTGGATCAACAGGAAGTCTTAGTGGCTTCAAATCTTCCACTGGAAGGGAAAGGCATCTTTACTTTCAAGATGAGGTTACTGATTTAGGTGCTTTCCCTCTATCTTACCTGTGGGTGGCAGAGACTTGGGGATATGACAGTGAACACCCTACCATGCTTCTCGGCTTTTATGAACTTTGTCAAGAATTTATATTGCACCAGTATCCCTTTCCTCCCACCTGTATCAGCACTTCTTTAGAAAGCTAACTGCCTTTTTCTTACCCCCTTGTCAGAAACGTGCGCTGTCAACAATGGAGGCTGCGATCGCACCTGTAAGGATACTTCGACAGGTGTTCATTGCAGTTGTCCTGTTGGATTCACTCTCCAGTTGGATGGGAAGACCTGTAAAGGTAGCCTGTGCCTCTCCATGCTGCCAATGTGTGGGGATAAAGACAGCTCTTCCCCTCCACAGCTCCTGAGTGACTCCAGATTTGCTTATGATTCCTGTTGATGGAAGCTCTTCCCTGGGCTAGTGGAAGGTTATAATTGAGTAAGCTTAATTAGAACCAACTTAATTACACTAAGTGTTGAGAAGGTCAGCATCTACAAGTATCAAATAATCCATTTCAGGCAGTGACCTTGTTAGAAAAAGGCAGATGTTCAAGGGAACATTTGCAGGAGATAATATCAACATATCATAAATAACAGCCTGGAGATTATTGTGCAAATAACAGCCAAGATTGTTATCAGAGAACTTAATGCATAACTGTACCTTTAATTTTTACTGATGAATAGAGACCCCAATGACCTGCAATTATTTCATGGGCAAGAGTACAAAGGCTTAGTTCTTTAACATGATAAAAAGTAGATAAGCAGTTACCAGATGAAAGTGAGAAAAGATAAGACTAATGTGAGTATCAAGAATCACTTAAAAGCATTAAGACTATTTGATCGTTGTGTAATTTGCCAAAACAAATGTCCTGTTTCCTTATAACTTTAATCATTAAGCTGGAGCAGAAAATATACCAAAGGGAGCCATCTTATCTTAAGTGAGCAGGGCAAGGATGATAATATAACAGGACATCACCATTCTTTCCCATAGGTTGTTTCCTGATGCTAGTCAAGGGCAGTGTAAGTCAGAGTTCTCAAGGGGACAAAGCACTTGTCTTTCGAAATTGATTAAGCCAGCTCAAAAAACATGTGTGAGATGAAAACCATCAGCAAACATTCTTAAATGCTTGTATGGGTCTGTTTTTGTTTCAGAGGATAATGAAGCACACACAATAGCACCTCAGGGACTTGTGGAACACGAGGCAAGTATCGCTGTCTGATTTGCCGATGCTTGCCTGTTACAGATATTGATGAGTGCCAGACCCGCAATGGAGGTTGTGATCATTTCTGCAAAAACACCGTGGGCAGTTTTGACTGCAGCTGCAGAAAGGGATTTAAATTATTAACAGATGAGAAGTCTTGCCAAGGTATGTGCTGAAACGTAGCTTTGCTGTGCAATGTCCGCTGGTTGGAGCAGAGAAGACGAAACCTCACCCTGGCAGAAATTGACAGAGTCATTAACCCAACCTCCAACCTGAGCTTCACTTATTTCATCTGTTAGGTGGATTAAAAGCACTGACAGAACTCACAGGTATATTTTGGAAATGAAGCCATGAATGATTAGAGAACACTTCCAAGAACCCACCTGCTGTGATTACAGGAGAGCTCGCTGCTAGAAATGGAATGGATGCAAACAGGGTTGTGTTAGGATGCTGAGATTATGAATAATTGTCCTTTTCTAAAATTTCCTTTAATGTTATGAATTTTAAAACAAAATTTGGTGGCAAAAATATGTCGACTTAGTTAACATATCTTTTCCTAGCAAAAAGGTGGGGTCAACCCATAGTCAAGATCATGTACCAGTTGTGTCTTCCTCATGGCCCTTGTTTGAGTGAGGGAGGGGGCTGAGTGGAGGGGAATCTGGTCAGTTGTTGGGAAGGATTGCAGACCCCTTCTCAGATGTGTTCCTCCCACATAAGGGGTGTGGAAAGGAAACTTCTCTGGGTAGCAGTTGTTGATATTAGTAACTATTTGGGGTGGTGGTGAGCTATTCTGAGTGGGGCGGGGGGCATCACTTATCTTTTTACATGAGCCTCTTTTATGCCCTATTGATATATAGGAAGAAGCTCTCAAAAAAGTTGTGTTGTCCTTTACTCCTGTACCATTTCTACGAAGAACAGCCAAACTTAGTTTTGTTAGAAATCCCAGAATTAAATCAAAATCAGAAAATAACATCTGATTTCACATCAGATACTAAAGATTAACATTACCTTTTTTTATCTTATGGTATGAATTGGGTTTCTCTCTCTGTCTTTTTTTTTTTTCTTAATATATATTTTTGTCAGGCAGTTCAAGTTTAGCCCCCTTTAAATTCAACAAGTTCTTTCTGGATGATTATTGTGTGGTTTTCTTCCATTTGACTTGGAAAGCAAATCTGCTGTTCCACATAATGTTTCATAATGTATAGAGCAAGAAATACTGTTTAAGCTGTGTAAACACATTAAAAAGGAATTAGAAAAGTGATCTCATTTTTTTTGGCAAAGCAAAAGCCCATTGTGAGCAGCCAAAGTCAGCTACTGGACAAGTCCACTTTCTCGACAACTGGCTGATGTTAATAACAGAATTCAGAGAGTGACATCAATTACTAGGGAAGAAACAGACTTTTTCTCATTTTTCACTGATCAGTCTTGGTAGTAGAAATATTTGCACAGAACAAATTTACTGAAGAAATTGCCAGGGTTTCTGGGAAAAGCTAGGGAAGAGGAGGTTTTGCAAGAATTTGCACTTTTTATTTCTTTTTGTTGTTGTTCTTCTAGTTCCTTCCAAATGTTTGTTTCTTATTAATGTAGTTTCTCATGGTATGTTTGGTGTCGAAAAAAAGATCTAGAAATGGTCTCGCTGGCTTCCACTGAGTTCTGCACTGGTCCTGGTTTGTCTATTTGGAGACATAAATGGTAACCGTTAAAACCGTCCAAAGAGCTGAGGAAGTGAAACACTGAAATTCTAATCTGCGGGGAAGATGTGAGGACCAGACCAGAGAAGAGGGGATGATTATATTGACAAACGCAGCCTCGAGGCCAGTTTCCATGACCTTAGCTGAAGCCAGGGAGGCCTCCCCATTAGACCAGGACAGTAGAGGCCCAGGACTGAACCATGGGGGAGGAACAAAGACTAGGGATTGGCCAAGAGGATCCAGTTTGGAGCTTAAACACAAAATTTCGGTGTCTGCAGTAGAAGATTACTGAGACTATTAGCATTAAATGCATTCTTTTAGTGCAGAGGGCATTAAAACCCAGGATCAACAGGCCTCCTGGGGCCAGAAGACTCATTCTGGAAAGATCAGAAAGAGATAGGAACCAGTTTTATCTCCAAGCTGAATGTCTTCTCCTTTCAATTTGCCATCGCTTATTAAAGTACTATTGCTGTTTTACCAATAGTAATATAATAATCATAATGCGTAGGCTGCACCTTATAGTTTGCAAACCCTTTTTAGGTATGTTATCTCATTTGCCTTCATTTAAATAGTTTAAATTGCTCAGCCCTGCAAATAAGTGTGGGTGAGAGACACCAACTGAGCTTTTAGGCAAGTGCAATTTGCAACGAAGAGTCCAGCAGTGAGTACACTTATTGTGAGCTGCCCAATACTTTCTTTAACACAAGTGATTGGGAGAACTGACAGATCATTTTGTATTGTCTGTGTTGTTTTTCTCGTCACTGCTATTATTATGCACAAATACTCTCCATGCATCTCTTAATGTTGATTTCAGGTCCCCTTTCCCTTTACAATTCCAGATGTGGATGAATGCTCTTTGGACAGGACCTGTGACCATAGCTGCGTCAACCACCCTGGCACATTCTCATGTGCGTGCAACAAAGGTTACACCCTCTATGGCTTTACCCACTGTGGAGGTGAGCAGAACACCCCTCTGGAGTCAGATGAGGCTGGGCCTGCAGGGGGACAGGGCCTACCCATCAAGGTTTCCCCAGGTCAGGGCCAATTCTCTTACATTGGGGGGTGAACGGGACAGTGCAGTCCTTGGACAGCAGTAGTGAGTCCATTGATTCAAGGAAAGCATCTGCTAAGGGACTTCACCCCCTCCCCCCACCCCCAGCCCATTTATCCCTTTAACATGTCGAGTGTGAAATAAAGCAGAGAGAAGAGCTAAGTTATTCAGCTGTGAACTCTTTATCGATGCAGTTATATTCAGAGAATGGGTGGATCTCTCAGGAGCCAATACCCTATCTGTTGGAACTTCCCAGCAGATAGTAAAGTCACAGTCTTCAGAGAGTCTTGGCAAACCACCAACGATTGCACAGCCCTGCTGTGCATGGGAACTGGCTGTGAGGCCTTGTTCAAGCCCTTTGTGCTGGGCTTTGAGCTGACTTTATCTCCCTGCTGTGCACCCATGGAGCAACATGTTCTGATGTCATTTTAGTCCTTATGGTCCAGTAGACTATGGCATAAATCAGATTTGGCACCAAATGACTTCCACTTTGCTCCCCTGACCGTCAGGTTCATTCAGCATCTTTGAGAATACAGATTCTGCCTCAGAATGTCTGGGGCTGCCAAGGCAATTCTAAGGATCTGAGGGTTTTGGAACCACTGGCCTAAATCCTTCCCGCTCAGTCCTTGTGTCCTGTGTTTAAGAAGAATGGATAGTAGTGATTTGCTACAGTATCATCTCCCCTCATTTTCAACATTCTTGGCATGGCTAAAAATGTAACTTCCAGTTCATCAAGAAATGCCAAGTTCACGGCCTCTGAAATGGATGTGGATCTGGGTGTTAGTTGGAGCCAACTTGACCTGGTCTCAGTCTCAGGTTGATGGGGATTAGTACACGTGATTTTTCTTCTCAATACTTCACCTGTGTGAACTGTTGAGGAGGATTCCTGATTCTATCTCCCTTGGTATGTAACCCAGGAGGATGATGGAGTTCTATATTGAAGCCTGCGCAGAGGCTGAGTTGGATATCTGATAGTAGAGTGTGACCCCTTTTGAGTGTCCCTAATGGGGGAATGGTTTGGTCAAGAATGGAACTTGAGACCATCCTGATGAGTGGCTCATGCCAGGAAATCCACTGAGGGGGGAATGGGGTCAGCTGGTACACATCCTAAAGGCAATTAGCACCTTCCTTTTGTTTAATAAATTTCAACCACGAGTTTTCCTTTCCTGTTCCTTTCTCAAGGGAAGAATAGCATCAGCTTGGTCAGTGATGGGCTGTGGTGACAGGAGTGTGTTTTGTTCCACAGACACCAACGAGTGCAGTGTCAACAACGGAGGCTGTCAGCAGGTCTGTGTGAACACAGTGGGCAGCTACGAATGCCAGTGCCACTCTGCATACAAGCTCCACTGGAATAAAAAAGACTGTGTGGGTAAGGGGCGCCGAGGCAGAGCGTCCGCCAGTGGGCTCGCCATTGGCCTAGCAGCGCTCTCCCATGGCTGACTGGACCTGTAGTGCAGCCGACCATCCCTCCCCTGAATTCTCCTCCCCTCAGCTGTAGCAGCTGTTCTTTAAATAGTTCAAAAACAGGAGATACTTTACAGGCTCTGTGGTGTTTCCTTCTGTGCTTCTGCATAGGTTGGAACTCACTTCTGTTTCCCTGGTTGCTTTTCTGCATGAAAAAAATAGCATATAAGTAGCTCCTTTACCTTGGTAGAAAATAGTGCCCGGCGTCTTATGTTCTGTGCTGGGTGTCAGCTCTACCTTCTTTTCTTGGGGCCTTTGATGCATGGGACTCAGCTGTCCTTGTCATACCTGGAAGTGTCCTTCTCTTTCCGTAAGTGTCTCTATTTTGTCCTGTCTAGAAGTGAAGGGGGTCTTGCCCACTAGTGTATCACCCCACGTGTCCCTGCATTGCAGTAAGAGTGGCGGAGGAGACAGGTGCTTCCTCAGATGTCACTCGGGCATTCACCTCTCTTCAGGTGAGTGGGTACCAGTCCCTGGGGCAGGTCCTCATGCCAAAGCCAGGCCTTCCTGGCCTTTAGGTGTCAGATGCCCTCAAAGGCTTCCAGGTGTCTGACTAGCTGCCCCCTGACCACCGGAGGCCAATGCTTTGAGACTCCATATGCTGGGCGTTTTCCTAGGGGTCCATGTGGAGTCAGGGGTGGGAGGTGATTTTAGCTGCTACCAGAAGAGACTGTAACCTTGCTTACATGTTGACAATCCACATTCTGTCTGTCAGGACTGCAAGAGGCCTACTCTGTCACCTGCGGCTCTTCCTCTCCTCTCAGGAACAAACAGCAAAAATCAAATGACTCTGCTTTTGGGGGTAACTACCAAGTCTGCGTGTTCTCTCTTGGGCTCACTATGTTCAATGGGCTTCATTCTTGGGGTGCTGTTCTTGGGTGTTGGCTTTGTTTTCTCTTTATCTCCTTGATGCCGTGAGCACGTTCCAGAATGTTCTTGCCTGCAGCCTCAGTGCCTGAAATCTGACTTACCATGTAACAGATATTTATTGGGTGTCCACTGTGTGTTGGGAGACTCTGTGTTCAGCCTTGGTGGGTCATCATACTGGGCAGAAGCTCACACAGCTCTGGGACCAGGAGATTTGGGTCTCCCAAACTCCCTGTACCCTATAGCACCTCAAAGGCCTAGCAGGAAGTATGTACCTGGGGCCTATGGTGTTTGTGTAGACAGACATGGGTATGACAGGGGGAGCAAGAATTCTTTCCAGAGAAAGAAAAGACTCCAATCCCTTTCTCCTTTGTCAAAATGCAAAGAATAAAAATTTAAAGATTTTAGGAAGCCTCATCCTCCCAGATTTAGACATCTCTGTGATTATGTCATGAGAAGAGCTGGATGAGGAAATGAGTTTTGATGTCCATATTGCATGGACAAAGCTAGAAACCCAAAGCAGGATAGTAATAGCTCACATATTGACTGAACAGTTAAAATATATATACCAGTCACTGTATTACACGTTTTAGCTGATTTAATCCATGCTACAATCCTCTGGGGCAATTTTACTATTATTCTCATTAGCCTGGTGAAGAAATTGAGGTTCAGAGAGGTGAAATAATGGATCCAGAGTGACTCAGATAAGAAATAGTGGAGCCAGGATTCTAACTGGGCAATCTGGATCCTGAGGCTTAAGCCTGATCCTTCACTGCCCCTCTTACAAGATGTTTGGACCCAGCCAGAGCAGACATCATGGTCTGTTTCACCAAACCCCTCAGTGATGGTCCCTTGGAGATTTCGGCCACCCTGAGGATGGGCAAGCAAATAGTTAACAGTTATTCAGTTCTTACTTTAGACCAGACAGTAGGCTAAACATTTTTTTTTGCATTATATTATTTAGTCCTTGTGACAGCCTGATAATGTAGGTGCCATAATTATGTCTATTTTATAGACGAGGAAACAGAATTAGGGAGATTAAGTAATTGACTCAAGTTCTCATCATAAGTTGAAGGACTAGAGTTTAAATCCTCTTCATTGGCTCCAGCACCTAACATATGGCTAAGACTGACCATGGGAGGAGAGCAGAATTTGGCACATAAGAGCCCAAAATGAGGCCCTTGCTCCCTCCTAGACCCTGGAAAATCCTAGCCACGTTTAATGAGTGCCATCCTTGTCTGGAATGGTGGCTCCCTCTGCCATGTCCTCCCAGGACAGGTTATTTAGTAGGATCTGCCTTTCCTCATTTTCCTCAGCAGTCTTGTCCAAATTTGAATCAGAGGACTCTGGTATTCTTTCTCGGGAAGGCACAAAAAGGACCTCATATTTCATCTCACTGTTGAGGTTGCTTTGGGCCCATCCTTTGTTATATTTGAGCATTGGGTTCATCTCAGTAGAGGGATAAGTGTAGCTCTTAGGAAGCTCCTGGTGTCCCAGTCCCAGGGTGATGAGCCCTCCATGATCCAAACCTTTCTTGGTCTCAGGGTAACAGAGGGGCTCAGGGTGTGCAGCGTGCAGTGGGACCCAGCCAATGGGCAGCTCACCATTACCCTCCTGGTGTTTCCATTCCTTTGCCTCTGATGGTAACATCTCTCACTTGTTTCTTCCTGAAGATGTCGTCACCGTCAGAACAAGTGTAACCTTTAAACTAAATGAAGGCAAGTGTAGTTTGAAAAAGGCTGAGCTGTTTCCCGAGGGTCTGCGATCAGCACTACCAGGTATGGAATCAGATGGCTGGTGCAGGGAGTTTGCCTGCATGTTGGGAAAGGGGTTCATCACAAGCTCAAGCCCTTCATATGGAATCAAACAGTTCAGAATCTCCAAGGACTTTCTTCACAGAAGAATGGAGATCCTAGACTAGCACCACCATATCGTTCTGGGGTTATACATCAGAGCTTCTTTTGCAAGGTATAGATGATGAAGTACTGGGGAAAACTGAATTCACAGGCATCAATCGAGCTTTCAGATGCATTAGCACTTTGTGATCACACTGGTTTAAATTTTCTAGATCTTTGAGTTTGCTTGAAATATAAGCCAAAGAAATGCAAAAAGGTTTGGCTCAGAAAGGATAATCTTTGATGAACAAAGATGTAATATCCAGCTTTCCTACTGGATTTAGTTTTTGGAGGAATCAGAAGAACAAATGCCACCCAGGTAGAACTGGACTTGTTGAAAAGAGCAGAACCCAACACTCGTCTTTCTCGCCTAGCTCTCGTTTCCAGTCTTATTTCGTAGAATAATTTTGGAGGTTAGAAAAAAATCAGGATTTGTGTCTTAAGGGGGCTTCTTTCCCCAATTTGCTCTCAAATAAGTCATACAAACAAACATAAAGCTCACTGTAGTCACTTTGGACTACCCATTTTATGTAACTAGCCAAGATTAATTTTGGTACCTCCATTTGATGGACTATTATGCAGCTATTAATTATATGTTCCAAAGAATGTTTAATGACATAGGAAGTTCTTGTTATAATGCCAAGATGAAAAAAGGGGAGTACCATTTTGTATATCTAATACAACCCAAATTGTGTAAGAAAAAGGATAGAAGAAAAAAAAAAAGAAAACTCACCTCATCATTTATAGTGGTTATATTTGGGTTGGAGGAACATGAGTGATTTTAATTTTTTTTGCATTTTCCAAATTCTCCATGTTGAGGATTTATACTTTTAGATCAGAAGGAAAAAAGCAGTATTTAAAGATAGTTTTGGTCATTATAGTTTACTTAATAGCATTGTACTAATGTTAATTTCTTAGTTTTGATAAATGTACGTTTTAATGTAAGATATTAGTTAGCATTAGGGGAAACTTGGTGAAGAGTGTATGGGAACTCTCAGTAGAATCTTAACAACTTTTCTGTAAATCTAAACTTCTATCAAAATAAAAAGGTTAAAAATAGATATGGGAAAATTGAAAAGGAGAAAGGTTCAAAATGAATATCTGATTAGTTTGAGATTTGAAGTTAGCCTTTTGAAAAGGTAAGATTGATCATGAGAGGAATATCAAGAGGGGATATTTAATTTGCTTCCCTCTCCTTTGGCCTCTCATGAACGGTTGCTTTGAACATCCTTAGAATGTTAAAGAAGAATATGATATAGATGATACATCAGTTCAATAAAGTAAGATTTAAAAATAGAGATAATTAATCATATGGGTGAGATGTGGACCTACTCTTTAGTTCCGGTTAAACAATCACTAAAGAGTCACTGGAAGCCATAGAGGAGGGATGGCCACCAATGGCATCGGGATGTGCAAAGCTCTGCCTTACATAACACTTTCATTCCAGATATCGTTTGGTTCTGTTTATTCTTTGTACCATATAGTGCTCCTAGTTATTTTAAAATGAGACATCGCTGTTGATGTGCTTTCCAGCTTTCCCTTGGGGTTGGAATTACTTCAAGGTCAGTTTGCCTGAAAGGAGGAGTTGGCTTCCTCTCTCCTCCCGTGCTCATTCTTTATTTGAGGCCTCAGCCCCTGCTTGGTGCATCATAGTCCAGCTTTAAGGAAACCAACTGTGAGAACATGAGTGCGCCTTGGCAAACCATCAGTCAGGAATGCAAGACGACCCTGGTTCCTGTTGGCCACGTATATGGCTGGTCAGGCAGAAACATCCAGCATTTTACCCATGAAAATAATTTTCAAGAGCTGAATTGTTAAGTTATATAGGAGGCAATCTTGGCTCTTCAAAATTAAATTAAATTAAAATGTCATCGTGCTCCAAGCTGAAGGTTTTCAACATCTTGGCATCTGGAGTTAATCACTTCGTCCCTTGAGAGTTGTTTTAATGAAATGTTTACTGAGCTCTAGCGAATGTTCAGCTGAGTACTTTGCCAGAATTTGGCTTCCGATAATTTTGTTTCTCCATACAGAGAAGCACAGCTCAGTAAAAGAGAGCTTCCGCTACGCAAACCTTACATGCAGCTCCGGCAAGCAAGTCCCTGGAGCCCCTGGGCGACCAAGCGCCACTAAGGAAATGTTTATCACTGTTGAGTTTGAGCTTGAAACTAACCAAAAGGAGGTGACAGGTTGGTTTGAAAACGGTGTCTGGTGCCAGGCTTCTCACAGCTTGCTCCTTATTCCTTCGCCTTTCACGCTTCATCATTCTTGGGGGAAAAAAAAGTAGTGTAACCACTGAAGTATCTCCTGTTTTTTGTTTTTTTTTCTTTCTTTTTTACCCCCAAACTAAACTGAATTTGTTTGGAACCTGATGATTTTACCTGCTTCATAAAACCCGAAGCTACCATTTTGGTCAAACAAATTTCTGTTGGGATCGAATGCTGCCCAGCCTACTAGGTGTCCAGCTCCAGGCCTCCCCCGATTCTGTCCATTGGGAACTATGGGTGTTGGTGGGTCCTGCAGTCGGTCTGGACCTCCTCACGTACCACAGCCTGACGCCCTCCCCCACTACTGTCCCTCTCATTTCTGTAGCTTCTTGCGATTTGAGCTGCATGGTAAAGCGAACAGAGAAGCGGCTCCGGAAAGCTATCCGCACACTCCGGAAGGCTGCTCACAGGGAGCAGTTTCACCTCCAACTCTCAGGCATGGACCATGAAGTGGCTAAAAAGTCTCCCAGAACATCTGAACGCCGGGCAGAGTCATGTGGAGCGGGCCAGGGCCACACAGGAAATCAGTGTGGTGAGTGGCCTGCTGGCCAGGGCCTTCTGGCTAACAGAACTGTCTTGAGCTCTATAAACTCTAAGGGTAACCAAAGTCTGGCTCATCCTGCCCTCTCTGGGCTCACTCTGGAGACGCCCTGGACATCTACTCATTGGGGAACTACATGGTGGTGTCTGTCATGTCTCCTGGACCAGGAGCTCCCCAGCACCTGGCATAGTGCTTGGCTTGTGGTGGACACTTAATAAATGTTTGCTGAATTGAGAGACAGAAAGGAAGAGGCAGGGTTGGTGAGAAGAGAGAGTGTAGTCCTTTAAGGGTCTGAGGGATGGTGGTCTTCAGATGCCTGTGGTCTCCCAGCTGGGGCAGGCCTGTGGGTGTAAGGCACCATGAGCCTTCTGCACACTCTACTATCCCTGTCCTCCTCTCATCTCCATCTGGCTTGATTGATGGTGGCCATGAACAATCTCCTGGTCACAGTTTTGTGCAGAGGCAAGGCTGGGGGGCTGCTCAGCTGCCTTGTGAGATCCCTGAGCTTTGGCCTAGGGCTCCTAGCAGTGTCACTTCCACGTATGTTGGAGTGTGTGTATGGTGTGGATGTCAGAATTAAATTTGAGACTTGGCATTTGAGCACCATTAATTCTATTTCTCTGATGGGGTTCCAGGCAAGAGGAACCTGGGCAGGAGGTTCTAGGGTGGTCAGTGTTGAGATTTGTTTGCTGTGAGAGACTGCCCTGTGCAATTTGCGGAGATTCTTAGATAGAGAAAATTGGGGGAATCTCACTTTATAATCATAATGGTAATGATTTATTGAGTTCTCACCTGTCACAACAACACTATATCTAAGCAGTGTATCTGCATTATCTCATTTAATCCTAACGGTAATCTTACCAGGTAGGTGCTATTATCTCCATTTAACAGATGAACAAACTGGAACTCAGAGGGCAGAGTTCTCTTGCTTAACATCATATTGATGGTCCAACTGCAAAACCTGTGATCTGGTCCCAAGTGAGGGGAATTTCAATAACCAGACCCCTCCAGAATAAACTGATATTCTTGCAGAGGTGTCATCAGAATCACAAGTCCCAAGAAATGAAGCTTGAGCTAAGGAGCAATAAATCAGTGTTTCTGCAGGAGCAAAGCTGGGGACTCACTCAGGAGAATTGTCAGCAATATCCGCACAGCCCAGATCTGTTGCTTTACCAAAATGTAGTAAAAATCAAGTATAAAATAAATGTAACTGTCCACGAGAGGGACAGGTTCTCAAATAGTCTTGACTTTTATTCCAGCTGACTCTCTTACAGACAGAAAAAAAAGTAAAAGCAATACAGGTAATTGGTTTCCTCTCATTTAAAATTCTAAGAGCTCCAGTTTCCATACAAAAATGGTGACGAGAATTGGCTGTTGTTGCCCTCCTTTCTGGGATGAGATGTAGAAACTCTCAGGGATGGCGGCCTGTCCTCCTCCTGGCCCCATTTGCTGCCTGTTAGGAGGAGGCCTGGTTGGCTCACCAGGGAGGCTTGGTGGCCAGTTAAGAATTCAAGAAAAACTAGTGTCAAGGGCTCTGGGGACCAACTCCCGGTGAGAGCATGACCAGTGTTACCATGAATATGCTTTTGGGAAATCAAGAGCCCAAGAATGAGGATCAGGAGTGACTTAACAGAGACCTCATGACCGTGACAACTTATAAAAGACACTCAGTATGGGTTTATGTAGCTGCTGTCTGTGTGAATGTGTCCTGAGGTACTTGTCATGCTGTTAAGTTGGATTTGTTGCTGAGGGAGGCAGCGTGTCTTGTCTCAAGAGCTCCCTCTAGCAATGGATGAATTTTGTAGCCCATGTGGGACCAAACCAGGTTCACCTTGTCTGACAGCAATGTTGATGATTTTACCATGTAGAGGAAAAAGCACAAAGAATTGCCAGTGAAATTACTTCCTCCTGCTGGAGGGAGGACATGTATGTAAAGAGGGGTTGGTTATCTTAATTAGAAAGGCTTTTTACCCAGCAGACACATGGCACAGGCAAGCCACAGTGTTTGTGTGTGTGTCGGGGGGTGGGAGGAGTGAGAGGGGGGCGTCTGCCTGTCTGTCTTATATTCCTGGTCTGTTTCATGGTGTTGGAACTTCAGGAAGACCAGGCTTACTGGTATTTTCTGAACTCTGGATGGTACATGCTATAGAGACAAGCCTAAGATAATTCTTTTTGGAAATTATTTTCAGTGTTTTCAGAAAAGAGTCCAGAAAAGTGTTTTGAATCACCTGGAAAGAGAGATGGAACCATTATGTTTTTCCTTTAAAATATTGTTATTTAGTTTTAATTACCCAAACTGTGTACATTTCAAATGGTACAGATATGTGTACAGTAAAGGTGAAAGTTCCCTCCTCAGCTCCCACTCTCAGTCCCCAGAAATAATCACTGTCAGTAGTTTGCTGTGTGTTTTTCCAGGTCTGTATTTATGTACATATAAAAATTAAATTGTATTTATTCATTCAATAAGTATTAATTGAGCACCTACTATGTTCAGTGCTCAATAGTGCCAAGTACTATTTTAGGTGCTGGGAATCCAGTAATGAAACAAAAGAGCAAAAATCTCAGCCCTTACAGAGCTTATGATGCCAGAGGAGGGAGATAGACCACAATCCAATGAACAAGGAAATTTACCATGTAGCAGATGGCGGTAAGGGTATAAGAACAGGTGAGTGGAAAAGAAAGTGCCAGGGCAAAGGGGTGAGGTGAGGAGGAGCGTACACCCCAAAATGTAGACTATGGTCAGGGACTATGGACTTGCAAAGTGTCATTTGGGCAGAGATGTGAAGGACAGAGGAAGCAAGCCATGGGGATACCTGGGAGAGGTCCCAGGCAAAGGCATCAGCAAGTACAAAAACGCTGAGGCATTGGAAAGAAGGCCAGGACAATGAGAGCTGAGGGAGGCGAAAGAGAGGAAGTCAGAGCAGTAGCCGGATCACATGGGGAATGGAAATGGTGGTGAGGACACTGACTTGGAATCTGGGAAACGAAGCCAGTGAAGGTTTTTAAGTAGAGGAGTAACAGGGTTCTGACTTATGTTTTGAAAGGACAACTTTGGCTGCTGTGTTGAACATATATTATAGGTTTATGTGTGAAAAAAACATATTTAAAAATATATATCAATATAATTTGAATAGTGCTATGTGTTAAACTATAGAGTAGATCACAGACATCCTTCCATGCTAATAGAGGAGGTACCTTATTTCTTTTAAAGCTTCCTAGTCTACTTTTAAGATACAAGTACTTATTAGCCATACTAAATATCCACCTATAGCAACTCTATTGGTGGATGTTTAAGTTAATTGTAATTTTTCTATTACAAACAATACTGCGTGAATGTTCTTTTCTTGTGCACATGGCCAATATTTCTGAAGGATAGACTTGTAGACATCTGATTGCCAAGTCAAATGACATGCACATTTAAAACTTTAATAGATACTGCCAAATTACCCTCCGAAAGACCATACTCCCTCCAACATTGTATCTGAATGTTTATTGCACCATATCATTGCTAACATGGGTTAATTACCACTGATCTTTTTAATTTTTGCAAATCTAATAAGCAAAAATGATCAAGATTTTAAACTTGTTTTTCTTTATCTGTAAGACTGAGCCTGATGTCATATGTCTGTGGCCATTTGGATTTCTTGTGAGAATATTCATATTCTTTCCCTCTTTTTCCATTGAATTGTTTGTTTTTTCCAATATCATTTAAAAAATAAATTTGAAAGTCCCAAGTTACATCAAAGAACAGTCACTTCTGATCAGTTAAATTCTTTCTTCCTTATAGTCATTTTTACATAGTGAAGTCTCTTTAATTTGGCATTTAAGGACTTTGGGGACAGCCTGCTCTGTAGGTGACCTTTGTACCATCTGTGATCCATTTTAGCAAGATGGCAAAAAAAAAAGAAAAAAGAAAAAAGAAAAAAGATAGCAATTATATTCTCCAAGGAACAAATTCCTTAAGCTCCACAGTAATTCATAAAGTTGTTCATAGCTAAAGAAAAATTAACGATGACATGAATTTCTAGCTATTTTTCTTTCATAGCTATTTATCCTTTCATAAAGGATAAATTATTTAAGAAATATACTGCATATAGATATAGAGATAGAGATAGATAGATAGATAGACAGACAGACAGACAGACAGACAGACAGACAGATAGATAGATAGATAGATAGATAGATAGATTATTCTTAAAACTTGCTGAGATTTAGACAAAAACACAATCCAGGCAATTGGCAAACTGGGTAGTATTTTAGTGCCTGGGTTCTTGAGAGACTAGGAAAGTTTAATTCAGCTTTTAACAGCTATAGCTTTCTTCTGCAGTAGTTGAGAAAAATGAATTCAAGCAGTATTTATCAAGATACCTCTCTGCTACCCCGTGGACTTGTTATGAAGCAGTGAGAATATAATGGGCGAGGGGCCTGCTCTTATGAAGTTCACATTCTAGCAGAGGGAGATAGGCAATAAAAAAGTAAAGAAGGGATCATTTCAGAAGTTATAAGTGCTATGAAAGATAATAAAACAGAGAGGGTCAGAGGGGAGCAGGGGTTACTCTCCATAGGGTGTTCAGGGCAGGCTCTCAGAGCAGGTGACACCTGAGCTATGACCTAAGTGAGAAGAATCATGTCTTTTTTTTTTTTTAATAAATAAGGGAACTAAGGCAGAGGTTTGATAAGCCATTTACCCAATGTCACCCAGCCTGTAAGTGGCAGAGCCAGGATTCAAATCCAGATCTGACTCAAGAGCCCTCTGTTCCCAACTCGCTCAAATTGAAAGCTCCCCTCCTGGGTCCAGCCTGTGCCCTGTGATGATCTGACTCATACTGCACTCACATGGAGAATCCTCCATGGTCGGGCTCTGGGGTAGATGCGGGGGAGGCCTCCCTAAATACGACACCATCCCTCAAGGCACACTCAGCCCTCTGAGGGAACAGGGGGAGAGTCAGAAAGCCTTCCCAAAGACAGAAAGCTTAAGCTGGGTTCTGAAG